ATCTTTCCACCCGGTCGTAAACATCAGTAGGCAACGAGATCCAAGCACATGGCAGCTTGACTGCAAGGCCCGCGGAAAAAGGCCTAGTCTCTGCAAAAGCTCGGACCATCTGTCGGAACCAAATTGTACGCTGTCCAAAAGTCGTTGACTGAAAGTGTGCACTGGTTACTCCCGCCTCAATCCAGGACTTCGTGCCCACCGAGTAAATTGGTGGCAAGATGTCCCGCATTAGGTGGAAGGCAACGTACAGCTGCGCAAATGAATACCACCGTACATCCCTAAACCCCCTAATAAACCCTAAACTTGAACCACCAAACCCTAAAAACCCTGAACCGTGCCTTCAATGCCTTCAAAACCTTCAATGCCCTAAGTATTCCGAACAACCTCCAGACGCCCTGCACATCCCCAACGCCCTGAAAATCATGAACGGCCTGAAAGCCCTCCACACTCCCCAAGCCCTCAACAACGAACGAACAGCAGAAGAATCCTTATTAAAACCTTACTTAACCGTAAAAGCTCTGAACCCAACTAAACCCGAAACACCCTCAACAACAAACCGTCAACACAATCGCAATAGATGATGACAGTCACCACAGTCACATGACAACAATCAAAACAATCACATCAGAACAGACACACAACCCGAATCACAACAATCACAAACAGTCCGAGCTACAGTAACAGCAACCGCAACTTTGCAACAGCAACAACGGCAACAGCAGCAGTAACCGAATTCATAGCCGTACCCGCAAACGTAACGGTACTTGTCGCAACGGGAAGAACAGCAACAACAATAATAACAGTAATCACAAGCATGACAACATCAAACAACAGCACCAGCGGCAGCAGCAGCGCCAGCAACAACAGCACCACCACCCCCTCCAACAACAACAACAACAACAACAAAAACAACCAACCTGCAACCCAACCGACTAAGTCACCAAAAGCAACATTCACGACCAAATGCTGCCTGACACAATAACACCCTCCCCACCACCCCCCTCCGTGACCGGCGCTAGGCTCGGAAGAAAACAGCCCAGCACACTCCAGAAGGGTAGACCAAGCTCACTCGCCGTGAGTCTCACTCTTCCTCGCCGGCTCCGGGTCGTGTGTCCGGCCTCTCGGCACTCTCGATCATGGACGGGCCATGGAAGCCAAACCAGAGGGCTCTCCCAGGAGGGTCGGCCATGGAATTGCTTCCCCAAAGGGCGCTGCCAAGAAAGAGGTCCACACTAGCATCACCGGGTCTTTGGATGAGCCCTCCTGCACGGCCAACCGCGAGGTCCAGCCCCACCCATCTCCCACAATCCAGTATTCGGAGTGGTTACCGACACGGGGCCAGCTGAGCTGCCTTTCGTGCCGAATCATGAGAGGACGAGTGGTTAACTGAGAGTGTCTGGCGCCAAAATCCTCTTCGCCAAAAGTGCCAGTGCACAGAAGACCACCCGCCCACCGACTCGCCCCGACATACCAAGCAGGCAACACAAAATGCACCAACAAGCCAGGCAGAAACACTCCATCAACAGCGTCGCTCTTGATCCAACCGCGTCCTCGAACCACTAGAGCCAAACATCCAAGCCCACCACGAACCCTGCCTAGCCCCGAAACGGAAGCGCATGCATCACCCCGAGTCCATTCCGAAACCCTCCCCACTTACAAGTACTCGGCCAGCTACATGAGTTGCGCCCCGAGCCAGATCAGAGTCGTGCTCGGGCAACTGCTTCGGCGACGCTGCTTGGCCTTGCCACTTGCAGTTCAAACTGTTTGCGTATGATGGCGACCCTCATGACAATTCCAAGTCTATGGGTGAGATGCCTTTACTGGCGTGCCTGCTGAACGTACTGCGTAGAGCTCATCCTCCATACTCCTCGCCGAATGGGGGCTGGGCAAAGGAAGCAACGATGTCAGCAAGTCTGTGCGACACGCATGAGCCCGGCGCTTGGTTTCGATGACTTTTCAGCTCATGGGTTTTGCAGTCGCCCCGCTCGCGGCGCAGATTGCTACGGGTTCGTGCTGCCATCAGCGGACGATACTTAAGTTCTCAGCAGTGCCGGAGTTTGAGCGCTGTGAGCTTGCGTCCTTCCAACAAATAAAATGCTCTCGCACTGAGAGGCCTTGAACCTACATACCACCGAAACCCTACAGAAAGCGTCATCTCTCCAGTCACCCCTCATTGAGCCCCAAGCTCGCCAAAAGGACGTCTTCATGGAGCTCATCGAGAACGTGCCTGCCTGCGGCGCTGGAGACTCCTTAAGGAAGCGCTCGCATGTCAGGTCCCCCAGTCGAACCCTTTTGCTTATACTTGTTGAGATCGGATTTTTGACTTGAAGCGGACTACAAGGCCAAAAAGCTGCAACGATTGATTTGCCATGGAACCTCGCGAAAGCCTGATAGTTCGGAGCGTGACACTTCACTGTATTTTGGCATTCAAGGTTTAGGATTTGAGACTTAGGTGTTTAGGGTTAGCGGTGAACCTGACCGGGCGAGCTCCAATCAAGCCTGTGTAAAAGGTGTGGTGGGGTCTTAGCATTAGGACTTAGAGGTTTGGGGCAACACAGCCACATAAGCCCAAAACTGTGTCTTCACCTCCGCCAGGCGATCGCCAAGAGGAGCCCAACAACTGGCGTGGCCTGACCGACTCCGTTTTTAGGTGGTTTTGGGTCTAGAGAGTCTGGGTTTAGGGCCCAGGTTGTTGTGGGTTTAGGGCTTCGGCTATAGGCTTTCGGGCTCGGGCTCGGGGTTTAAGAAATCTTCAACATCTTCTCATCCATCTGAATGCGAAGAGCCCTAGTTTGAACCCTGGGTTTCTGAACCTCTGTTATAGTTTTTTCAGGCCACTTCAGGTTCAGGGTAGATGTGGTTTTGGTGGGTCTGGATGGGCCTGGTACGTTGAAGAGGAGTTGTTGTTATGTGTTCCAGAGCATAAGTCAGGTCTCGATGGAGTCTAGTAGTTTACGCACATGTACGGCCTGGTGTTTAGGATGGCTGAAGGATGCTGCTGGCTGATGGGTTGGGGTTCAGTATGGTCTAGGGTTTACAAACCTAACATTAAGTAAGGCCTTGAGCCTCAAATTACACGAGGTCCACGAATCGGGGTCCTCGTGAGTTCTTTGGAGCTCGGATTGGGAGGCTGTTGAGATCAACTTGAGACCCTGCAAGTGCCTGCAGAGGTTCAGGGTTGGCGGTTGTCAATGCTTTTCGGCCTCGAGGAGCTATAGGCTAGCGCGTAAGAAGAACGACGTGGCACAAAAGCTGTGTTCGCAAATGTCGCGAGCTTCGAAACATGAAACAAAAGGGGTGGCAGTGTTCCCGAAACTTGCGCAAGCAAGGGATCGCATCGTAGACTCGCGGCAAGAAGGATCCTCATTGCAAGGACGCAAGTGGATGTGGAATCGTCAAAAGGTCGAACGCCGCGGTGGAGCAGGTCTGTGGCTGGTGGCCTACTTGGATAAGACGGACTTTTCGCAGCCTGAAATAAATTCGATTGAACTCGTTGTAATAACCATGGTAGTCGAAGTAATAAACCGCAAGAGAATGGGTTTGCCAGTGTTATTTAGACATGAGACGATGGTGTTGGGAGGTGTGCGCAAAATAAACGTCTGTTTCGGGATTAGCTTAGGAGTTGCTTCTTTGTTGGCGCATGTCGGCGCCAGTCCGTTAGAGCTCTCTCCGGCAAATGACCCTGCACATAGCATTGACATCGAAACTGGAGTTACTCACGCTGAAGACTTGTAGTTTCACTTATTGGGGAACGACTCCCAAGACACTGTGCCACCGACTTCTTGAAGGCTTCGTATGAGTCTGGCCACACGCAGCACTTGAAAAGAACTGCTTGACATCACTTTGAAGTACTTCGCACATGTCAAACCGTCAAGCGCTTTCTGTGTTCTTTAGTAGTGTTCGTTTGCTTGCCTGGCAGACTTGCAATTTTTGTGACAGTTTCCGATAGTGCGGAGGCAGGTACCGCAGCGACAGATGTACGGATGAAGCTGACCTAAGACTACTTGACGGATGAAGTCTGATGAGCCTGTGATTTATGCTTGAGAAGCTTAGACTTGATGCTGAGGCTTCGTGCCCCAAATCAGGGTATTTACTTGCTGTGACAGGTTTCTCCATCAGTCTCATAATCGTGGGATACCAAACAGCCACATAATAGACTCCGTGAGAGATCTCATTATTTCTGAGCTCGTCACAGGACCACCGTGAAAAGCAAGGCCAACTTGGTCCCTTAGCTGGTTCCCTTAGATACGAGCTCGCCTCGTCGAACGGAGGCCCTGGGCCCCTCTTGACTGGGCTCCATGCCGGCAGCAGGTCACGTTCTCAAACCCCATGACATGGAGTAAGTGAGTAGGCGGAGCCAATGCATGACATGCACAAGTGCTGTGTCAGTGGTTCAGTCTTCCTGTGCTCAGGCCCGCTTTTGTCGCGAGCGAGCCTCCAAGTGCAGCTGGCACCCGTTTGTTGAGGTCTATTCTCTGCGAGAACAGGAGCCAAAGGCGGCGACACAAGATCAGGCCACACCAAAAGAACATTCCAGGCCCCACAAAGGCTGATCTCGCTCTTCGGAGGGGACCGTCTCGTTTTGCGATACCAACGCTCGATTTCCAGCTGTTTCGGCGGTACAGGCTTTTGGCCGTCGCTCGCGTGAGAACGGCCTTTTGACACGGAATCCATTTAGTAAATATGGAATATGTGTGAATAATGGAAACCAGAAAAAGGATTCTGAGGTGCATGCGCTGTACTTCGACCATTATTTAAACACATTGCAGGACAAGCGAGCGCCAAGTTCCACAAGGAGCAGAAAACGGGGGCCTCCGAAATGAGCGCGCGAAAACTGTGAAAAAGCATACCCCTTAGGGGCGCGGTTTATCTGTACATGTACGATTGGGCCATCTGGGTGCGACAGAGGCCGAAGCAAGGCCAGGCCACCGAGCCGACCGAGCCTCACCGAGCACCGCGTTCCGAACCGGCTTCGCCCACTGGTCACCGATGTCACCGGTCTACACCCTCGCTAAGCTCACTGAGTTGCAACTATCACACTCATCCACGTACAGAGCTGTGCCAGGCCGGCTAGACACCTCCAAAGAGGCTTCTCCAGCAATCTTCCGAAGGCGAGCGTCTGTGATCGTGGTGACATGCGACTCTCCCGGCGAGCCCAGAAATACCTCAACTATTAAATCTTCTTCCGGGGTCATGACTTCCACGACATCTTCCGCTTGAAGCCAGCCATGGAAAACGTTGTCCTGCTCTGCTCCAGCTTCCTCACCCTCCATCTCCTGCTCCTCTTCGGACTCCTCCGCTCCAAACCAGTCGCCGTCAATGCGCTGCTTCACCTTTCGGCTACAACAGATTGCAAGGCTTGCGAAGATGGCGAGGGTGAGTGCCACAGTCAGGGGAAAAATCACCAGGTCTTGCAGGAGGCTGATGGCACAGCCTTCGAGCCATGCTGCAGCATCCTCCGAGCTGACATTTGCAAGGAAGGCGAGGGTGTAGAACATGCATAAGCACAGGTGCGAACTCCATATCAACCAAAACACGGTGGATTTGCACTTCCACAGGCGCAGCTGCTTATCCCTGGCCAACGGATCCCACTCGTGCTTGTGAACGGCCTCCCGTGTCTGTATCATGAACAAAATGAAGACAACGGTGTCTCCAAGAAAAGCGGTGACGAGCCCCACGGTTGCGGCCTGGATCATACTGGACAGCAGATCGCTTGGAGGAAGGCAGTCCGGATCCGAATCTGGTGAAACTGAGCTGCTGGAGTAAAATAGCGCCGCCGCGGCTGCTGCACTCGTCAGCTTCGTGATGATGAGCGCCGCGCGTGTGGCGTGCGAGGTAAACAGGCTGAATCGAACAGTCTCCAGCCAGGGGTGGATAGACGGGAAGAGGAGAAAAATTCGCATCACAATGGTGCTCGAGATGAAGCTCTGCACCGCCTTCTCCCCGCGTGCTCGAATGTCTTCATACTCAAGCAGGTGGACACTGTGAGAAGGGTCGAACGATTTCATCTTGCGCATCATGCCGGGCGTGTTGAGGTTAGATGCACTGCGTGACAAAATCCGTGAGAAAGGCCGCTGCCTCTCATCATTTGTTTCTGGGGTCTCCGAGATAATTTGCCCAGCAGACACAGGGTCGTTGCCTGAGTCTGGCGTGGTCTCGGTTGGAAAAGACCTGGTGCGGGAGAGCGACTTGACCATCTTCTTCACGCCGTCAATGCTGTCTCTCGAGGTGCCTGTTTTGTGAGCGTGGATGCTGGTAATGCAGCGATTGACCACGGACTCCGGGGCGTTCGGCAAAAACTCTTTCAAGACTTCTGACAAGTTTTCATATCCGAAGAAAAGCCCAACTCCCCACAGAAGCCATTCCGCGGATGCTTCCAAAAGCTCTCGGGTACGGGTGCAGCAAGACTTATTGGTCTCAGCATTCTCCGCCTCATGCTTGTTATCTTCTGGCGCCAGCGTTTGACCGACTGAGGTCTTCGTGCGCAGAAGCAGGGGCTCCTTGTGCTCCCAGGGAATTGCATTGCTCACTTTCGTGTCCAGGCGGACTGCCAAGCAGAACCCCACCACAAAACAGAAAAAACAAACGAAAACCACCACTGATGTACTGTGGGAGAGCCACTGGTGCTGTCCCAATTTGGCCACACCTTCAGCACTGAATATCTGCGAGGCTGTGCTGCATTTCAACACGCTGGCAATATTCCCCAAAACGAAGCCCAGAACTCCTCCGAAGATCGACAGGTGAGAGGTGCGGCAGATGATTTGGCCAGAAGACGTAGCAATGGTCTCTACACCCTCAGTCGACCAGCGCAGGGTCTCCTCATCAAAATATGCGCACGTAGCGTTCTCTTCAGACACTGGTAGTAGAAACTCCATGGGCTCAGCGAGGTTCTTGATCTCAAGCTTGGATCCACCTGACGTACGGAACTCGATGCTGATGGACTGACCAACCAGCGTTGAGCCGGTATCCATGCCAGCAGCATCAGCAGCCAGCCGTCGGGCTAACCTGGAGTCATCGCTCCTGATCTTGTCAGAGACGTTCGCTGAAAGTGTGGTGAAGCTCAGCAACACCACCTCCGAACCAGCAGCATCAGCAGCTTGGGCGAGAACAGCAGTAGGGACGGAAACGCTGGTACCCTCTTCTCCCTCGATGCTGACATTGCTGCCTTCTGGCAAGGATGCAGCAGACAGAGCCACCACCTTCAGAACACCTGCTACGGTTTCAACAGATGCTTCCGCCAAAACACCATTCGTGGAGTTGCTACTTGCAATCTGCGAGGATAGCACTTGAAGCGTCTGGCTCACAGCTGCCTCCTCCACAGCATCAAGGGTTTCCACTGCCTCAGTGGCCTGCTGTTCGCGGAGTTCCTCGAGCTGCGCGAACTCTTGCTCGTTCAAGACTGGAATTGTTCCTGTGCTGCTGGTAGCGGAGCTTGTTGCCGACGTGTGACTAGTTGTGCTTGTGCTGCTCTGTGAGCTGCTTGAAGTACTAGCGTCACTGCTGGATGTTGTACTGCTCTCAGTTGTACTACTCATGGTCGCCGTGCTTGTGCTTGTGCTGCTGCTGGTGCTTGTACTTGTGGTGTGGGTTGCAGTCGTTGAGGACGTTGCGCTTGTGATTGTGCTGCTTGTTGTGCCTGTGCTTGTGCTTGAGCTCGTTGTCGTGCTTGAGCTCGTAATTGTGCTTGTGCTACTGCTGGTGCTTGTAGTTGTGGTGCGAGTTGCAGTCGTCGAGGGCGTTGTGCTTGTGCTTGTGCTGCTTGTTGTGCCTGTGCTTGTGCTGCTTGTTGTGCCTGTGCTTGTGCTTGTGCTCCTTGTCGTGCTTGAGCTCGTGATTGTGCTTGTGCTACTGCTGGTGTTTGTAGTTGTGGTGCGAGTTGCAGTCGTTGAGGACGTTGTGCTTCTACTCGTGCTGCTTGTTGTGCCTGTGCTTGTGCTTGTGCTGCTAGTCGTGCTTGTGCTTGTTCTTGTGCTGCTGCTGGTGCTTGTAGCCGTGGTGCGAGTTGCAGTCGTTGAGGACGTTGTGGAACTTGTACTAGTGGTGCTAGTTGTGCTACTGCTGCTTGTGGTACTGCTCGACATTGTTGATGTGCTTGTCACGGTCTCTGATCTAGAGCTTGTTGTGGTAGTCGTCACTACCGTCGTGGTGGTAGGAGCGATGCCCAGGTCGATCACCGGTAAGTTATCGCCCATCTCGCCAGCTGCGTCTCCACGATTTTCCGTGTCTCCATACCCCAATCTGGCGTTGCTAGTGGCTTGCCCCCAGCACTTGACACTGTCATCGTCAAGGATTGCACAACCAAAAAGCTCGTAGCCAAGTCGCATCTTCTTCACTGTACGGCCTGTGCCCAAGCTGAAAGCAGGCAGGTCGTCCCCCATCGTCCCGGCTGCTTTCCCGCGTTGCACGGTATCTCCCTGTCCCAACCCGCCACCAGTACCTTGTCCCCAACATTTGATGCTATCATCGTCTAAAACGGCGCAAACGTGCTTCTCTCCGACGGCGAGGTCTTTCGCAGTGCGACCCGTTCCGAGATTCACGGTTGGCAGGTGGTCTCCAATACTGCCAGGTGCATCTCCGAAGTCGCTCGTTGATTCTGAGCCGAGCATGCCATGGACCTGCCACCCCCAGCACTTCACCGAAGAATCGTCCAACCTAGCACACGCGGCTTGTTCACCCGCACCGATTTGCACTGCGGTCCTCCCAGTGCCCAAATCCACTAGAGGCAGGTTGTCCCCCATGTGGCTGGGTGAGGTTCCTCGGTCATGGAGGTCTCCCTGGCCCAATCCTCCATTCGAACCGAACCCGAAGCACTTGACGTTGCCGCTTGTAAGAAGTACGCATGTGAAATAGCGGGCGCAAACCACTTCCGCCGGCACATGACCAGTTCCTAGATCCACGACTGGCAAGTTGTCACCCATGCTTGCAGCAGTGTGACCTCGGTTAGTTGTATCACCAGACCCAGTGGGGTTTCCAAAATTCGTGCCTCCCCAGCATTTCAAGGTGTCGTCGTCCAGAATCACACATGTGTGCGAATCGATGCTAGCAACCCGTTTTGCAGTTCGGCCAGTGCCCAAATTGATCGCCGGAAGGGCTCCGGCCCCGGCGCTGCCCACTCGTGTGGTGCTGACGCCGGCACCAGCGATCCCATTCGAGTTCTGGCCAAAGCCTATGAGGGATCCATCATCCAGAATCACAAACGTCGTCTGGTACATCGAGTCCGGCAGTCGCTGGGCACTGCGGCCAGTTCCAAGGTCAACCGTTGGCAAAGCATCGCCCATCACAGAACGCACCGTTTGGTCACCGTAACCCAACTGATACTCGCTGTTAGGACCCCAGCATTTGAGCATGCCGTCGGACAGGATTACGCAAACATGTTGCCCTGTCGCAATGTCTAATGCTGTATACTGCTGGGCGCCAACCCGAATCAACAGCACGGCAGGCAGCCAGCTGCATAAGAGTCTCAAGATGACCCGAGCCATCTTCCAAGCGAAAGCTGCACAGTCACGACTTGATTGACTGTGAAGGATCGGCTTGCACAAGAATATGTGATTCCATTAAGCGGTTAAACCTGGACAATTGTCAATGCTCAGAGGCCATCCTGAGTTAGTCTTGGTGCTGAAAACGATCCTAGAACTTCTTGTCTAGACCAATTGCCCTGAATGTTCATGTCGGGCGGGCCTTTTGATTTTGGGGGCAGTGCTCTTCTCTAGCAGCGCGAGCCCAGACTGCGACCACGCAACATCCTCTGAGGATCCGATGCTTTGTCGCAGAATTCGCAAAACACGTTCGGGTTGAATTATTTGGGATGGCGATGCTCATTTCTAACGGTGTCGGTGCCGATGCTACAAGCTGCCTTCGGCATGTCTTGAAAATGTGTGGTGCCGCAGCTGCCGCAACGGCATGCTTTCTAGGATACTTACTAAGGTCCAGGTCCGGAGCCTTGCCACCATTCCCTTGAGTGCGCCGCACAAGCGCCATTTGATGTTATGCTCAATGGAACCACAGGACATGTTGCAATCAAGTGTGCATAGGCCCTCGTGACCAACTAATCCCTTCCCAAAGCTGGGTCCAAACTACCTGACAAACAAGAATGCAGCCAGCTTCATGCATTTGCATGCTGCCAGGCAAAGCATACTACCTGTCTAATCGCACAGGCCACATAATCGGTCCAAGGCTACGGGTTGCGAACAGGCCGTGGCGCCCACGTCAGGCCTTCGGTTCTGAGCCTGGGCTAAAGCGTGAAGGGTGCAAAACTTTCGCTCCTGGTCGCCATTACCGCTACCAGCCCAAGTGAACGAACGATGAAGCCCCGTCTCTACAGGACCGAAAATGCTGTGCTCGCGGCTGGAGGACTATTTCGTTTCCCTCGGCCACAACCTCGCCAAACTCCGAGCGTGACCAAGCCAATGAGTAAAGCCACAGGCTGCCGACCTGCCATTCTCTGCTGCTTTCCTGACCTGAACGACGAGGTTTGCAAACAAAAACAAGACATGAACATGGACTGCTCTAGCGAACCCTGCCGGGCGCTAAGTTCACTTCCAGCACCGGGTTCGCGCGCAGCGTTTCGCTGGCAAACCGGAGCGCCTGGAGCTGTGGCTTGTGATTTCGGGTTTGGATTTCTGGGGCTGAGCATCTCAATTTACTTAAGCAGGTCTTGCGATTCTGGGGAGCAGTCGCTCTCAAAGCTATGAACGTCTGCAAAGAGGCAATCCCTTTGTCAAGAATGCTCAGAACCGCCTGAAACAAGACGCTGAAACTCAAGAGCTTGCAGCTGCTACAGCGACCTGCCCTGCTCGCCACATTTGTGAAATTGCCGAGGCATTTGTTTTCCTGAGGGGCAAGCTTGTATGCAGAGTATAAAGTGGGAGGCCCCTCTTTCTGCTTCTTTTCACAAAACAATTACAAAGAGCAGAGCTGCAAGTCCTTGCCCTTTTCCTTTCCTGATGCACAACTGCTCAAGAACTTCACAAACGCATACAAACACAAAAGATCGCACATGGGGCACCCACTCAGCATACTGGCGTGGTCATTTTGCATGGGGAGGCAAGTATCAAATATGGAGGTACGGTATGCGGATCGGTGCTTTGCACGTATGACAAAGCATAAGCATCGAGAAGGGCTGAGATCACAATCTCTTTTGTGTAGATCTCACGAAATGGTCCGTGGGGGTGTTGACCCCCAGACATGGACACCTAATTACTTCTCAGGCTATCGCGAAGTCGGCTGCGACAGCTTCAACAAGGAGGTGTGGACTGCAAATAGTGGTCATGGGACCGGTGGGCGAGCGCCTCCTGCCGCACGAACTCCAGCGGGGCCACCCTGAGCTTGATCGGGCCCTCAGGTGGAAGTTCCCATGATCAACGGGGAACTGGTCTGTCGCCGTCCCCACTTCCTCCTGGTCGTTGGCGAACGCGCTCTGGTACCACGGGGCGATCACCGCAGACAACTGGGCGAACTGCTGGATGTGGTCCGGGCCTTCGATGCGAGCGCGTTGATTCCGGCATGCCTGGATCGTGTTGATCAAGGCGGGGCCTGAGATGTGGCTCACCGTGAGCCAGGTACCTGGCACGGATGTCCGCCCACATTTCAGGTCGATCCTGTTGTTGGCGTCCCGGAACCTGAACTCCACCCGATCGGCATCGTTCCCGTACCCTTCCCGGGAGGAGCGCTCCGTAACGCGGAGCTCGCAAGTGCTCATGGCGTGATCACTCGCCATCACCGCTCCTCTCGGGCCGATCGCGTAGACTCGGGCCCCAACCTCAAACGAGGTCACTGAGACCTTCCATCCCACGAAGACTGAGATGACGATCGAGGGTCGGAACCATCCATCATTGGCCGTCCTGATCAGGACCTCGTCGCAGAACTGCTGCTGGACGGAGAGGTCCGAGTCCGAACGGTAACCTCGGAACACCCAATGGAAAAGGACCTCATTTCCATTGAAGACCTTCACATCCACGTAGGTGGCCGACGTGTCGAACATCACCGGCCACGTGAAGTGAGCACAGGGACCTCCAGTTTTCGAGGTCATCGAGAACAGCAGAACTGCCTTGATGCCATCGAGCGTGTAGTTCGCGAACAGCGAACAGTGATAACCCGAGTTCGGGGGCATGACCAGATCCCGCTCCGTCAGAACGTTGATCGAGCTGGCGGCATTTGAGATGATCTCCTCGGCCAGCCAGTTTTGGAACGGGGAGATCACCCGTTCGTCGCGGTTGTCGATGATGAGGAGGGAGTTCTTGGCCTCGTCTTCCTCTTCGACCACGAGCTGACGAACGAACTCAGGTCGCTGAACAACGAAAGGGTTGTGTGCAGCAGGAGCTGAGCGATCACGGCGTCCCCGACGATCGTCGCGACCCCAGCCTCCTGAGCCCCAATCGCCGGATGCGGCAGCAAGAGCCGCCGGGTTCTCTGGAGCCTCAGCTTCGCCAGGAGTGTAGAACCCCCAAGATCCTTGGTTCTCTACCTGGCCGATCCTGCGAGGCAACGAGAACTGCGGGGCTTGCTGAACCGCTGGACGATGTCCCTGAAAAGAGCCCGCAGGAGGGAACGACATGGCTGCGATCGAGCGAACCTATTCACTTCCACCTCCCACGCGGTATGGCCCGATCGGCTATCGCCAAAATGGCCACGGTAGAACATGATCACGTCTGTTCTAACGATCGCGAAACTGATCTCCTAATTCCTACCCACCAGACCGATAATTAGGAGACATATACATACATATATATATACACACACACACACACACACACACACACACGACTACGGAAAGTGCCAATGCAGAGCTACCGTCGCACACAGCCAAGCAATCGCCTGCCGCTTGGCAGATTGCGTACAATCTGCCTCACCGACGAAGCCTTTTTCTCTCCCGGGCATTGTAAACGGACGTCAGGTCACTAAGAGGCTTCGCATCGTCTCCCGCACGTCTTGGAGGTTAGGAGATGTCCTTACGTCCTCCAGCTGCCGCTTTGTATCCGCATAGGATCGATTGGGATCGTCATCAGCAAGCCAAGGAGCTTTAGCTCCTGAAGTACCCGGATCTGGCATTTTGGCTCGAGATGCCGCTGAGGCAGATTGAACAGTGTGTAGGGCTGCGACCAAGAAGGACGCCCACTCCTGTCGTTGAGGCTTCGTCAGTGATGTCAGGAGATCTTCGAGATGTTGCAGGCAAAGCTGCGCATAAGCCCAGGTCTCTCCGGGAAGCATCTGCGCACTCAAAGACCAAATCTCTCTCATCTGACAGAGCATGACTTCCGCGACCAGCTCATTCATGTAGCCAAGGCCGCCCCAGACATGGTTTCTAACCACATAGTGTGCCGCTCTACGCACAAGCATATCCTGGTCAAGACAGTACCTCAATGCACAATCGAGGTTTTTGACCACGATTGCACGGACGACACTTTCGTCAATATGAGTTCCGTCGGCTCTCGCCAGCATGATGCACCATCTCTGGCCTGAAATGCACCCCCAGGCCGTAAACCCGAAACTTGGGCCTATGCAACGGATGTTGGCATGAATGCCACCTGCTTCAGCCTTTAATCTATCAGAACCCTGAAACCCTATACCATGTGTCTCTATCGAAGAATGCCCTTGACGTTCTGACAGAATCAGAAGATCGTGTGTATCAAATGTGTCGCACCGTACACTGCGACTTCTACTGCTCTGAGGCCAGTGCTGATGCACAGGCAATTTCGGGGTTTGAGCGCTACAACTTCTGCTTGTTGGTTCTACCGTCCCTCCTCGTGCTCTTGGTGATCGCTGGGGCCGAGAAGCACGTCGCTGGAGCTGCCGTTGTACAACAAGCTTCTGGATCCGGCGGTTCAGAGTTCAGCAACGGATGCAGTAAATGGTCCTTCTGTTCTGCTGCGCATGCACTCGAGTCGGGTAAGCAGTGGCACCGTGATGTTCAACTGTAGAGGTTGGAAGCAAATGAATCCTGAGACTTACCGTACCTGTGCTCCTCATATTGGCTCCATGCAGTTTGGGTCAAAACTCTACATGAGATGGCGAACGAATCTCTCAGGTTCTTGTGCGCCGGTTGCTTCGCATGAAAAACGCTGAATACAAGACCAATCGCCCTCACAGTCTCAGTTGACAAGTCTCGTGGCTGGCGTCGCCGCAAGCCCTGTCCGGATCATAGGAAACTGCCGCAACATGCAGCACCGCATGTCAACTTTTCAGTAACAACCTTCTGGCAGGACTGCTCGAATGCCGTCTGACAGCATCGAGCCAAGTGGGGAGTTTTACCTTGCTGAGTATCATCTGCCATCCATGCTCCCTGCTTCAAAGTGCCGACTGTTTCAAGCGCAAATACTGTTCTGCTCAACTTCCGAATATCGTTCCCACGATCAAGATTCACGACAAACAGTTGGAGTCTCTAGAACTGAGATAGTGCAGGTTGAAGGCTTGCATGAGCAGCGTAATTAAACGAGTATCCCACACAGCTATGGACTACGGTCATGGAAGGAGGACAAAGTAAGCTCCACCAGAAATCTGCTCTTACACTTCTCGAATCGAAGTCTGCAAGCTTGCGTTCTGCGATCGCCTCCTTCAAATGTGTTGAATTCCGAACCGTGGCGTTTCATGGTCCATCATGTCTCGTCATCTTGCAACTCTAAATCTCGCACAGCATTAGAAAACCTGCGCAATCTGAACGCCGAAGCATCTGCATTGATTGATTTTAATTTCCCTCCTCAGATTCAGCGGCTTTTCACTGGTGGTACATGCCCGAACTCTAAGAACTGTGTTATGCAGCACAAATCGAGTTGTAAATACAGTGTATGCACCAAGACTAAGACCGTGTGTCAGATGTCTAAATTGGAGCATCTTCTACTGAGCAGAAGCAGGAAACTTGCGCCTTCTTATTCTGCTGGAAACTGGCGACTCGTCAGATGAAGCCTGGACATGGATGCCAAAGCGTGACTAACTGACTGCGGATGATGCACATGAGACAGATGGAGCTTCCAACAGCCTTGTCCAAAAGCAGCCTCCAGCACAGTTGGGGTGACACGAGGGGTTCACAATAGCTGCGAATTGCTGCAAGTTTGGAAGCGGAGACAACCAGTGGCACTTCATCATGACTGCCAAGTCGGGCTTGGATCGTCAATGTAATGCACACTTGCCTAGACAAAGGTTTGCAAATGACCGTGCGGTTTTCTTGAGGGCAAGCCGACCTGGCAGAATTTCGATCAAGGAATTTCAAGAATTGAGCGGCCAGCTGCAGCCGCAGCAGAATCTGCGGCTGGAGTGCGAGACGCCCTCGTCAGTGAGTGCACAAGTACCCGAGTGAGTCAGTGGAGGTCGTAGAGGTATGCGTGTCAGCATCATGGGTCCACACAAGTTCCGTGAAAAGGCTGGGTCAGTAGAACGAGGTTGTACACTCAATGCAAGTGGAGTGAGGCCATGAGTCGGTGACGGTAAGTGTGTCAGCCAGCGCATGCTGGAAATTGCTGGAGTGTGTGAGTGCGTGTCTGCACTCGTGTGCGCTTCCCTGCATGCGTGGACACTCCTCGTTTATCCCTGGCCCAAGGGAATTCAGGACTGCCCCTGGCTTCTCAAGCATGATGCTAATTCACTGATGCGGATACCACGCCGACTAGAATAATTCCCTCAGTATTCCACAGTCGCTCCAGCTGCACGACGGCTTTCCACTGAGTAAACTCGTAAAAGAGGGCTGAATGTAAAACATCTGTAGCCTGGAACAGGAAGGTTGTCGGCGTTGACAGGCTCGTAATGGTGAGCCGAGTTGCTGCAAAAAACAGATAGAATGAGTCTCGACAGGATGGATAGGCTGGATGACACAAGCAAGTTCTGACGAACTCGTTCAGTGAGGGTCCTGCGGCCTACATGAATGCCGAGCAAGGTCCGATTCATGCTACCTAGTAGTGCACTACATGACTCATGACCCATTTCTGAACATTTCTTGCTTAGCAGCCGGCGAGAACCATGAGCGAACAAATGGACAGAACACGAACCACGGTACGGGTGTGCGGAATCAAGGATCGGTTGGACAAGCGAGCGAGTTGAGTGATGGGTGGGGTAAGCAAGCTCGGCTGGTACGCTAGTGACAGTGGGCAGCACCTCTCGTGCCATGAAACAGCGGCAGCAATCGATTGTAAGTGTGTGTGTGTGTGCGTGCACACGGAACATCCAGCAGCTTGTGACTAGACAAATCCAACCATAAGTGCGCCCATCCGTGAAGAAACTGTGGGTGCGTGCATGTGTAGTGTGGTCCACGTTGCTCAGTGCGGATTACAGTTGCTCAGTGAGCTTGCTGCAGAGCTGGGAGAAGGCATGGAGGCGGCGCCGTATTCCTGATGGAATTTGGCCGCACCGCCCAGCTCTAATAAACATATTCATGATTCGCTGCCTTCCTGATCACACTCAAGATCCACAGCGCTGCTTTCGTGACAAGCTTCCAAACAAACCAGCCAACTATCCTTGTGAAACAAGACCATGCTCTGACCTGTCTCTTACTTGTGTACATCAAGTCTGTCAGCTGCTTCTGCGTTTTGGGCTAGCCTTACAGGCCAGCTGAATGACTGACTCACTGACGAATAAAAAAACATGGAAGCAGCAGCGCACGCGGAGCGAATAAGCGACCGGCAAAGCTTTCTTTGCGTCGCCAGCTTCAGCTGCTCTCGCTGCTGCCACAACCTCAAGTAAACACGCTTGAATAGTATGCACTGCACGAAGCACTCATTGCCGGGCTTCGTGGCTGCGTGTGGCTTTCTAATTCTGGCTTTCTGATGTACAACAGTAGCTCTTCCATTCTGCTTAATGTTTCCGAAACACTCTGCAGCCTTCATTCACAGCGCACAGGGATAGAGCATCGTCAACCAGGGGCAAGGCTGTAAAAGCTGGACGCACATCTCCGCGGCAGCGTAGGAGAAGCCGCAGTCTTGGCTCACCACCGATGGCAATAAGCAGCACTTCTGCCTATCCCCTATTATTATCCCTTCATGCAGCACGATAAGATCCCAGCTCTTTCGGCAAAGATCTTTTCGATGGCGCTGAACCACGTTCACTGATACTCAGCATCGCGCTGATGCCGGTCCTTGGCAGCTACAGAACCAGAAGGTTCCTTCCGGATCTCAACTTCAGGCGAGCACATTCCAACATTGAGCCTTTGAGAGCAGCTGCGCAAGTAAACTCTCACGAAGATGAAAGGAGGAGCTTCAATCTCTCAATCGCGCAGGGCCTGTCAGCAGTTTCGAGCAGCTGCCATGCCTCAGTAGGCTGGGACTTCGATGCATGGTACCCAAGGCAGCTGATGGCAGCTGTGGGCCGTGGCTTGTGCGGAACCTTCTGGCCTCGGATCCGCCGGCCCCGCCCAAACCCATGGAAACTTCCTCTTTCTACGGGGCTTTCCATCAGATCAGACAGGTCCACTACAGTACGGAAACATCTGAGGAATGCATTTGACAGGGGCTTGAACGTTGCAAGGATAAACGGACATTGCATGGCTGTACTTCTCTCATCCTTGCTTCCAACAAGCAGATCTCGCCATGACCCTGCGCACCCTTGCTTTTCCCGTCTTGCCACTCGCGATTCTTCTTCTATGATTCTATGCTTGGTCGCTTCGAGGCCCTGATTGCGTTCATTGCTGGAAAGTTCCCGAAGGAAGCTCTCTTTATTTGCCATTCGTCCAACGGATACACTTCCACTTTCGACGTGACTGGGAACTCAAGGGCAACTCGGATGAAAAAGCCACGCAAGACAAGCAATCAGGTGCATGCCTGCATGCAGCTCATAGAATACTCCCCAGCTCCTGTGGTGTTCATACTAGAAGCAGGCGCCGACAGGACATGTCTCAAATCTGTGAACGGTGTCCTGCGGACGAGGCTGTTCTGCACATGCCGCAGAAGCCCGGAGAGCAGCATCAGGCGGCGCAATCCTTGCACTGCCACATACTAAACACTGCAATCCATAAGCAAGCTATCGCAGCTATCGACAGGTCCTCCGGTGACTCGTCTCCGCGCCTTGGAACGCCGTTCTGCACGTGGCCAGTCGCCAACACAAGCCCCGGGCGGGTCTACGCAGTGCTGGCTGGATGTTGTGGCTCGAACTCCCAAACCTGAAGCACCTGCACAAAACGTGATGCATCAGTCAGGGGCACTATCTTGTCGTTCTCAGCCAGAAGACTGATTGTCATCCAAAGGCTCCAGATATAGATGCATCGGTGGAGTCAGCTACCTCGCTCAGGCATGAAGCCGGCAGTACAGTGAAATCGAGCTTGCAAGCTTGCGGTACATGACCACGTCTAAGGCCCAATCTGCTGAGTCCCACATTGCATTTGCCAGCCCCTGCGTTGCAACACTCTAGGCCCAGTCTCATGATTTTCAGCCTCGGCGAGACCATTGTGGCCACAGTGAAACTGCAAGACCAGAAACTTCCCCTGATGGACACAACTGCCAAAGGGTCAACACGGCCAGCAC